CCCCAAAACCCCAAAACCCCAAAACCCCTCAATGAATATAATTCTTTTTGAAAGACTTAACAAATAAAAAAATTAATTAAATAAATAATGATGATAAAATTCAATCGAGTTAGTGTAACAAATCTCAATACAGTTGATGTATTATCTATTTGAATAAATCTATATTTACAACAGATTAAATAGCCTTTAACTGAAAGAGATGATCCTGATAAAGACAATCAACTCCCTTTGATAAAATTTGAGAAGAGTAAGATATTGTGGTATTACTAAACATGAGTTCAGATGAACATAACTTTACCTAAACAAAATAAGAAGAAACCAATTAGAAAAGTGAAGGCTTGCTAAGTATACTGAGGAATGTCAAAAGTTAAGGCAAATTTTCAGGAAATACACTAGCTAGTCCAAGATAAAAAAATGAATCAAGTAGTTTTTAGTGAAGAGGAAGCAGTATTGACCCTTAATTTAACAATTCAAAGACATAAGAGCATTAGAAGGTGGAGAGAGAGTTGATTAAGATAAAATATATGAATTCTTAACTTGTTCTTGCTCAACGTAAAAAAGAGGAGGTATATACAATATTTTATGACTCAAACACTAATAGATGATAGCTTTCATACTTGAAGAAAATAGAAAACTTAGAGCTGAGATTGATACTTAAAGCAAAGAAATATAGAAAAGAGATAACAATATTAAGTTGTTAACAAAAAAGTTGGAAGTGGAGCAAAATGAAAAAGAATAGCTTTGGAATAGAATTAAAAGCCAAAAAGTATTAAAGTAATTTGAGCTGAATCCGAGGAAGGAAAATGACACTTCCATTATTTCTAATCACACTTTCATAAAAAGATTTTAAACCAGTCAAAACAACTAATCTTAGCCAAATGAAGAGTATCTTGAAACTCCAAATGGCAAATAGGCATTATCTCATGTATTGATTTCTTTTTTAATCTCTCAATAATTCTATAGAGATCAGGGACTTTGATAAATCCTAAGTCAAGTTTCCTTCAAAAAAAGACAACAAATGTGCTAAGTCACAAGAGATAGCCAGGACCTCAAAATTTTACTGATGATCTTAATTTATTAATGCGCTAACCCCCCGGAATGAGATAAGGTTATGGTGTAGATAAGAAGGATTCAAATGAGCTTTCTTTATTTGATTATTTTGGCAAGAACTCTGTCCTTAGATTCAATCATGATTAGATAGAGGAAGTCTTGCAGTCAGATAGATTGAAGTTTCTAAAGAAACTATTTGAGAACTCTGAATACTTTAGAGAAGAGATGTGCAACTGTACTGATTTTAAAATTGAAGATTATTTGATTTCCTTCAAATCAATGATGAATGATATTCAAAGAATCGCTCATTTAATGCTTAGGTTAAAAACACTTCTACTAAATTCGTATGCGATTTCAAAAAATATCAGTCTCTATGAGGCACTTGAAAAAATCATTGATGCTACATGCTAAACGCTCTAATGTGATAGAGCATCAGTATTCATGGTAGATGAACTTACTGGAGAATTGTGGACTAAGGTTGCTAAAGGCAGTGATCTCACAATCAGAATCCCTATGAATAAGGGCATAGTAGGGTTTGTTGTCACGAACAATATTACTGAAAACATTGAAGATGCATATAAGGACAATAGATTTAATAAGGATGTAGATAAGAAAAATAACTACAGAACTAAAACAATACTCTGTGTTCCAATAAGAGATTAATTCGGAAATGTCATTGGCGCTTGCTAAGCAATAAATAAACTTCATTCGACTAGATTTACCACTGATGATGAATATATCTTTGAAACGCTAGCATTAAATGCTGGTATTATCCTAAGAAATCAGATACAATATGAGTAATCAATCGTAATCCAACATAAACTAAGAAATATTATCAATATTGGAATAAAATTATCTTAAAAGGCTAGTATAATTGAAATTCTAAGAATTTCAGAACAAATGCTTGCTGAAACCTTTGGAGTTGATAGAGCTTATATTTATTTGGTTGATAATGATGATAAAAAGATATTTAGATATACTGATACTGGGGATACAAAAGTCTTTCCAATAAGTGCAGGATTAATAGGCTTAGGAATTCAGAGAAGAGAATTATTATCCATAAGTGATGCTTATAATCATCAAGCATACAATGGATTGATTGATATTGACACAAGTATGCCTGTATTAATCAAGCCTATTATGATGAACTAGCAAATATCTCAGAATGAAATGTAAATAACTGGAGAATCACCAACTAAATAGACTGCAAGCTAGATGAGCTTATCCAATGGTGGGGATGTATTAGCTTGCATTTAAGTAATCAATAAACTGGGGGTAGTTGGAAGATCTTCTAGAAATAAAGCAATGATGGATCCCTTAGATGGAGAAATGCTAGAACTTTTTGAAAAGCAATTCAGAGCTGCTCTACTCTCTTCAAAGCCTCTAGCTTACTTTAAGGAGCAATTGAGATTGAATTTAAAAACATGAGACAACTTTGATAAAAATTAATGAAATTAGGCTTATTTATTCTTAATTTAATAACTCAACAACTTTGAAAATCCTCCATTATCTTGTGACATTCCTTAAATGCTTCATTCTATTTTCCTGATAGTAAATCTATTGATGAACCAATTATTCCCTTATTGTCTGATGTTTAAAGGCAGTCGAATGCTCTAATGTATTGAGCTTGACAATTCTTCCTAACATAGTTCACCCTAAATCCAAAATTATCAAAGATGCTAATTACATCTCGTTGTAACATTAAAGAAAGTCAGCTGCCTAATCTTCACAGAAGGATGGATCTCCAGATCTTCCAACTGTTGTTGCTCGGCAATGAGCAAATTTTTTTCTTTCCTCCTTACAACTATAATTTCCTTTATATGCTAGTAGCATAGCGTTGTATCTATTGTTAATGTAAATTATTTATGTTACGTTTTTATACTATCGGATTATGGCACATCTCGATTATCCAAAGTTTTATTATCAGCCATTGATTGATTTTAAATTCTTTATTTTAGTCTAAAGTTAATCAAGATGGGGTTTTGGGGTTTTGGGG